AACAGCGAGTTGTTTTAAAGACGCTTTATATATTAATATTGTGGCCACTTATAGAATTTCAAGCATTACATATCTAATTTGTTTTATGACGAAACATGTTTGTGTTTATATTTACATAGAGACTTTGTATCAATTATTAATGTGCGTCCTGTGAACGTTGTCTTTGCCTTGTTGATCTTTATTCTAATTTCAAATTTGAGCATAGTTTATCTTACATATGTACTATCCCTTTTAATATGTATAGAGTTTGGCGGTGTGTGGTCATTTACGTATCAGTGTGCCCTAAAACCGAACAAACAAACACATATACTTGTAACGTGTAAAATGAATTACAATCACCCACCAACATGTTTCAGAAACAAAGACATTCAACAGAACTTGAACATTGCAAGTTAATTAGTAAATTGAATGTTTAAAGAGTTGGCCGACGGCATCTTTTGTTCCTCTAAGTGTCAAGAGGTTGGAACTATAATAGGGTGAACGATACAAGCTGTAGATTTATAGTTTTATAGCCTTGAAATTAAAGTGTGGTAAGAACTTAGATAGTGATGACACATTAATATCTGCTATTAATAAGAAAATACCTATTTTATGGCTGGCTAAGTTTGGAATTTACCATGTTAAACGTAATTGGTTTACTTTATGTTGCCCTATTATATATGTATTTTATGTGTCATAAAATTATTTAAGTGAACAAAGAAACTAGCATTTGCTTTTCTCTCAATTAAAGTTGTGTATAACTTTTGTTTTTCTACATTTTCAATTAAATAATCAGCGGAATCAAATCATCAACGTGTTTGTGTATTATATGTTACGGTGTTAACGTGGATATAAACTTATCTAAACTGCTTACTAAGAATTTTGTCAACCAAAATTTTCAAACAAAGGTTGGTTTATTACCAACCCATTTAGTGCGGTTTTTCCCTGCCAGATATTTCAAAAAAATACCTCATACTTATATTATATATCATGTTATATGTTCTATATTATACTTATGGCTTAATAAAGCCCAAATATCAATCTCATAACATGGTTGTTTCTTATTTCTCCATACAAGCTTCAATTGAGTTTTTGGTGGTTGTTGCAGTTGATATAAATGTATTTTATGTGCCATAAAAATATTATATGCAAGACAAAATAATTCACTTTAGTTTTCTGTAAATCCGCATATACTGCAAATACAGGTCCGCATACCGAAGTTTCGTTACCGACAAATAAACGGTGCATTTATTATTGAGTGAATTGGAGCACCACACTAAATACCGTATTCCGGTATCACCCAACGGAATGAACTTTAAAACGTCTTATTAATCTATTCACATCGATTTATATCCGATAATGAATGAAAAATATAAGAATCGCCAAAACAAAAACGATATTTGTCTAATTTGTGATCATGATTTCTGCAAGCGTCTAAAGGTACTGCTCCAATCCTGAATTGAGTTAAATCCTTTATTATTAGCCTGCGTCAATTCGCGTACCCCAGTGAACAAAAAAAAAACTAGCATTTGCTTTTCTTTCCCACCCTCCCACCACAATTATAAATTACCATTACAGTCTTGCAAATAAATAGTTTTGTAACTTCATGCTTATTTTTTCTTTCTAGTCATATACTAATATTATTGTTAATATTAATTTATCATGTTCTTTCTAGTTGTTATTTGGTGCTGGCGGTTTTTCCCTGCCATATATTTCAAAAATTACCTCATTCTCATTCGGATGTTTCTAAATTCAAAATTTTACTATTTCATGTTTAAATGTTGAATTCTGCTTAAGCCGGTGCTAGGGGACGTGGGCGGTAACTTGCACTTTCCAGTACCGTCCATGGACAGGCTCAATCAAACCGAGCCTGAAACATTTTCAATTTTGCCGTGTTGGGCTTTCTTTAGGGATTCTGTATTTATCTATTTTATATTATATATAATTAATATATTCTATATTATACTTATGGCTTAATAAAGCCCATATATTAATCTCATAACATGGTTGTTTTTTATTTCTCCATACAAGCTTTAATTTAGTTTTTGGTGGTTGTTGCAGCTAATATAAATTGTGATGATATGCGTCGTCGGAAGCTACATTTCAGTATATTGAACAATATATTCCGTTTTGCTTAGACTTTAGTGATCCATATTTTGTCTATTTTATCTATGAGCATAAACGTAATATCGCTTCTGCAAATTATTTCCCAAGGGAATAGGTATTCATATTTGTTTTAATGTTTAACGTTGACAAAATGTTGTTTTAGCCTTGAAGTCATGTAATAATACAATAAATCAAATATTGCATGTAATCACGTACATTTACTTGGCCACGAAACAAAACAGATATATATATGTCAGTTACAATCCAAATGTCAAAGACAAACTATATTCAAACATTGAAACCAAAAGTCCTTTTCTGAAAGCATGAAAAACAAATAGTTTGCATTGACAGATATTACAGCGAAACAATTTCTAGTGAACAAAGAAACAATAAAGGAAATATAGGAACGAATGAACATGACAGTCGTTGACATAAGTTTAAATTCTACTAAAATAAACTTCATCTTAGTTTAATGAAATATTTTCTATTCCCTCATTCCATAGTTGAATAATATTTGACACTTATTTAGCCGCTGCTAGGATGAAACAAAAAACTTGTTGTTTTTTTATTTAATGCATTCAAACACAGACCTAAGAAAATCGAGTCTATGTTGTTCACCTATTTTGTTTCTGTTTCGTGCACTGCAGCTTATATTAGTAGCTTTCGAGTTTAACAAATTACTTTATATGTTGTGAATAAAACCCCTTCTTGTCTTCTAATCGAAATATACGTTTTAGATAAAAGTGCGACTGATTATCAAACAGTTTTGAGCAAGTCATTGTTTTTTTAAAAATATAATAGACAATATCAACAAGAAAAGGAGGCGTTCAATGAACGCAACCCTAAAACGACTCAGCAACAAGAATCAGCAGCAAGGAGCCCAGAAATAAAGAACAGGGTGCAAGGCAGGGAACGGACAGGACAATCACTTATTATTATTATTATATTATTATTAATAAATAATATTTAAAAATGAATAATAGTAACCGTCATGTTAACAATACAGGCAATACGTCTAAAAGTTTTATTTTTTAAGCAAATCTGTACATCCGACGCAGTATTTATTTATTATTATTATATACCACATTTCTATAGCACTCTTTTCATAAATAATAAATGTTCAAGAGTGCTTTACATAAATCTGATAAAACATAATCATATATATATATATATATATATATATATATATATATATATATATATAGGTTTGTGAAAAATATTTGCATCTACAAAATACCTTTCAAAAACACTGGATCCAAGAAGGATACAAGAACGTGGAAAAAACAATAAATTTGGAGAAAATAAACGTTCATACAGTGCTTAAGTATAAATACCCAAGTACTTTCGGCGTAATATTCTCCATCAGGGGTGTATTACATGTAAAATGTGCACACAATCGAGCACAAAATCTCAATACGTGTGTACTGTATAGTATCAAAAATTGAACTGAAACACAGTCGCTAGAAAGGTGATAAAATTACATCGATTATGAATAGACCGTTATTGAATGGTCACGTGAGTTTATTTCATTTATTCCATAAGGCTATTCGCCCATGATGGCAATACAAGCATACATATATACATGTACAATACAAAGTAAGCATGATTTATGTGCATAATACAGCGAACAAAATTAATATTAGATTTACATAGACTTTTCATTGGAGAAGGTCAAGCATGACATACGAAAGCTTAATATTCTTAATAATTTCATTTCATATCATTTAAAGTATGACTTTAGTATAAATTTGTTAAGACTAGTAATCTGAAAAACATTATTTTCTCCTTAAATTACAATCAGAATTTGTATATATATATATATACATTGAGATACATGTAGTAATATGTTATCTTTCTCGTAAAAAGAAAGATAACCCTTGCATGAATTTAGTACAAAAATAACAATATTTATATATATAGTATAACAAGAACATACAAATTACATCCATTTTAACTACCAGCCTTACCGAAACAAAATGCAAGACGGGAATCATGGATTAAATTTAAGCATGTAACATGAAAATTGCATTAAATATCAAATTTCTACATGTCTTTTTTTTTATCTAGAACGATGTTTTAAATTCACATTTTACAACTATGCATATAAGTAGCTTTACAACAAAAATAAGTCATTACTCAACTGAACCGTATAGCATTTCATTTCTCTTTTCAAAAGATTTATATACAAAAATTCCTAGTTTCTTTCTATTTGTATCATTTTCATTGTTTAACAATTCAATAAATTTTACCATATTTGGATGTTTCCAGTATTTCTTATGAATAAATTGTTTCCTTAATTCAGTATACATTGAACATTCTAATATAAAATGATATTCATCCTCTAAAACATTACAAATTAAACATTTTCGTTCATTAACTGGAGTTCTTGTAGGTCTGGACCAACGTCCAGCCTCTATTTGTAGCCTATGAGAGGAAACTCGTAACCTTACCATAGCTTGGCACAATTTGTTTGCATTAAAAATATCTAGATATGATTGAAACTCAAAATTTGCTATTGTCCTATAAAATAAAGCTCTACTAGAGTTATGTAATCTTTCATGCCAGTTTTGAACAAAATTGTCCTTTAAACGTTGTTTTAAAATTGCTAGAAACACATCAATATCTCCTACACTCTGCTGTAACCAGACATCATAAAATCCTAAAGAACATAAAAGTTGTTTTAATTTCGAACACCAGTTTACTATATTTGGGTTATTTTCAAAATCACTTTTCAACAATTTATAAACTCTACTAACATATTTGTTTTCATTACTACACAATATTTTCATCCAAAATTTTACAATATTGAAAAGATGTCTACAATGAAATGATATTCTACCAAGTTCTCCATAAATAAAATCATTTTGTGTAGTTTTTTTAACTCCCAAAATCTTTTTACAAAATTGTAAGTGTACCCGTTCCATTGTTTGGCTAACCGTAAAACCATTTATCTCACTACCGTAGTTTAATATAGGTGTAATTAATGTATCAAAAAGATTAAGCTTATGCATTGGTTTAATATACGTAAATTTATATAAATATTTATTTAGTTTAAAATTAGCTTTTTGTGCTTGTCCAGCTAACATTGTTTGTGCTTTTGTAACTGATCCACCACAAGTAAATACAATACCAAGATATGTAAATGTATTAACAATTTCAATCAAATTACCATCATAATAAAACTGAAGATCACTTGGAAGTCTACCACCTCTTTTAAAAATCATAACTTTCGTTTTAGATACATTGACTTTTAACTTCCATGTATTGCAATAATCATACAAGAGACATATATTGTGTTGAAGTTCTTCTGCTGAGTTTGCAAAAATTACGATATCGTCCGCATATAATAACAGGAAAACTTTAAACATATTTACATCTATTCCTTCAACACCACTTTTTAAAAATGTATCTTCTAAGTCGTTTAAGAACATAGAAAAAAGAAATGGTGACAAACATTCACCTTGTCTTACCCCTAGTGTACATGTAAATTCATTACTTAAATTATTCAAATACTTTACTTTTGATTTTACACATTTGTACATAGATTGAATGACATCTAAAATTTTACCTCTTAACCCTAACTGAATAAGCTTGTACCAAAGATTTTCCCTAACAACGTAATCAAATGCTTTACTGTAGTCAACAAATAGACAAAAAAGTTGTTTTCCTTGATTTATAAAATGCGATATTAAACCATTTAAAACAAAAACATTATCTATAGTACTCATATTTGATCTAAAACCCGCCTGAGCTTCAATGGAGACATTATATTTTTCAGCCCAATTTTTTAACCTTGTATTAATTACACTTGAAAATAATTTACCAAGACTACTTAACAATGTGATACCTCTATAATTTTCTACTTCATTAACACTACCTTTCTTATGTAACGGAATGACATATCCTTCTGACCATCTATCAGGAAAATATCCAGTTTCAAAAATTTTATTAAATAAAACACATAATAAAGGAATAAAAACCTCTTTTCCTGATATAAAAAATTCATTAAGTAGCAAATCTGGGCCTGCAGATCGATTACGTTTTAATTGATTAATTGCTTGTTTTATCTCATATTCTGTAATTATTACATTTAACTCTTGAAACATGACTTTAAATTCTTCATCTCTATATCTACTATTAAACTCTAATATATCATCATCAGGAACAAAAAATCTATCAGCTGGGTTATTTACAGCTCTAAAATAATGTTCAAAATTCGACAATGGAATTTCTGCAGGTTTAAGCCCTGCAGACTCTTTTAACATATTCCAGTATAAACGAGCATTCTTCAGTTTATTGTTTTCAAAATTTGACGTTTTCTGTTTATCATATTCAAATCTACATGTACGTAATAATTTTTTATATTCTGATCTACATTTAACCATATTAATTCTATTTTCGTCACAAGGGTTATTACGATAACAATTTAAAAGTCGTAAAAATGCATACCTTTTTTCGGCACATTCATTATTATACCAAGGGCAATCAGTCTTAACGCTATGCTCACTATTTAAATTATTAATAACTTTTATATTTTTCTTAAATAGAGGTGATGCAACATCATCTATAATATTTTCAAAATTATTCAGACAATCATTTATAGTATTGCCTTCATTACATAATAAAATATCATCTTTTAATCCATTAATCTTTTCTTTTACGTCAGTACAATTCAAACGATGAACAAACTCTGAACATAAATCGTTGTTCCACGCATATTTCATTTTAACGGTATCTGATATATTTTCATCAATACACAAAGGAACATTTACATTTTTATCAAACACAATATCAAACTCAATTAAACAGTGATCAGATAAAATATTTGGTTCATGTACATGAAATTTTTTAACATGTTTAAAAGAATTTTGTTTACATAATACATAATCAATAACACTAGCACCACGGTTATTTACAAAAGTATAATTACCAATATTCAAATCGTTTCCTGATCTACCATTTAGTATTCGTAACCCTGTTTGTTTACAAAAATCAATTAAAGCTAATCCATTATTATTAACATGACCGTAATCTTTTGATAATCTGGGTGACTCATTATCAATAATATAATCATCAGGTAAAATATCTATATGTGTCATATTATTCATTGTGTAGTACTTTACAAAAGAGAATATAGCCTGCGGTCAATATGGCATAAACTCGGTTAAATATATCTATAAAACTGTGTTTAAAAGAAAAAATAAAACTTCACATATAAGGGCGTTTTGTGTTTTTATTACTATAAGTATGATGTAAGAAAATGCAAGTTCAATTTTTGATACTATACAGTACACACGTATTGAGATTTTGTGCTCGATTGTGTGCACATTTTACATGTAATACACCCCTGATGAAGGCATAATACGCCGAAAGTACTTGGGTATTTATACTTTAGCACTGTATGAACGTTTATTTTCTCCAAATTTATATATATATATATATATATAAGACATAAGGTACAATATTAATTAAGTACCCCTATTAAACAATAATGATAATCTAAAACCAGTAAAGGATGGTAAAAAATACAGACACATTTAGTTTAAAATCAAGGCTCAATTATATTATCCTATAAAAGATTTGAACGAAATAAGATTGTTATAAAAGTAACAAACAAAAGTAAAAAAGAAACGAATTATAAAGTAAACCCCTTAGACATAAAATCAAACACACAATTTACACTGATAATATAGCAAAAGAAGTACATGTATGTTGTTTTATGAAACTAACGTCCATAGAGTTTATGAAAAAATGTGTTTTAAAAGCTCTCTTAAAACTTGGCAAGGTATAACAGTCTCTATTGTCAGGTGGTAACGCATTCCATAATTTCGCTGCGGCTGTCTGGAAGCACCTGTCACCATAATGTACTGTCCGAGATTTAGGCACAACTAATGTCATTGAGTTATTCTGGGACCTCAGATTCCTGACTGGGATGTACACGTTTATCATGTCCTTTATATAAGCTGGTAATTGATCGATGAGGGATTTATATGTATAAGTCAAAATTTTATATTCGACCCGATACTCTACCGGAAGCCAGTGAAGTTCACGTAAGATAGGTGTTATGTGGTCATATTTGAGTGTTTTGGTCACAATTGTAGCTGCTTTATTTTGAACATGGTGTAACTTGGTCATTGACTGCTTAGAGACTCCACATAACAGTGCATTACAGTAGTCTAACCTAGAGGTAACAAGTGAATTTACTAGAGATTGGGTTGCTTTAACAGTAAGATAGGGTCTGATGTGACTAATTTGTCTTAATTGTGCATTACAGTTCCTACAGACATTATTTACATGTTGTTCCATCCTCATGTTCGAGTCAAGAAATGCAATAAGATTGCGCACACTAGATGATTGGCTAATTTTCAAACCATCGACTGTTACTGTAACATCTGAAACAGGTTGTGCGTTATGTTCAGATGAGAAGATGATCAACTCTGTTTTGTCGCCATTTAGCTTCAGCATGTTCACATTCTTTGTCGGATTTATAACCGCGATATCTTATTTGATTTTTCTTATTTGATTTCCAACTTCCTTTAAACTATTCAATACATTTGTCGTTGTCTTGTAATCCACATTTAAAGTAAAACAAAACAAAATGCCACGGTATATTTACATATGTATTATATGTATCAATATAAAATTAGATATGTATGTGATTTGAGAAACATTAAAATTATTTAAATAATCGTTTATGAAGTGTTTCTAAAACATTCTTTAAACAAATATAAATCAGCTGTTAAGTCGCAACATTTATCATTTATGTGACGTTTCGGGGGATTATATCATTTTTAAGTATTATTTTGCTAATTTAAGATCACGTATTAAACTTTTTTTAAAGTTTTTATTATGAACTGATATGGGAAATGAGGTCATTGACGTAAATAAATATAATATATAATTAATTGTTTTTAAACGTATGATTCTATATATATAATTTCGTGATACGTTCGTATTGGTTAGCTTAAAACATTTAAGAATGAAATCTTTGTAAACATGATGTCTCAATAGTATTAAAATTGCAAAGATTTGACTTATTGAAATTGTAATGTAAATGAAAAAAAAACGGATAAAAGCATTTGTGCAAATAAATTATTACCGCAATTATGACTCTTAACATTAGTCACATGGTCTCAGTTTGTAAAAACCAAACAAAACTATGCTTGATGGCCCAGTCGATGATTTCATACAAACCATCTTCTAGACAAAGCTAACTAAACTAAGTCATTTGAGTTTTAACCCTCAATGATATAAACACTGTAAAATCGAATACTCTCAAATGTACAATTGTTGAGCATTAAAAACCTAAGGCCGCAGTGCAAGGGATTTGATATGGCCTAGGATTTCTGTAGATTTTAATTCATGAAAAAAAATCTGCAAAAGCACGAGGATGCATTTAAAGCCCGATCACGCTGGGCGATGGATTTAATAAAATATCGTGCTTCTGCAGATGTCAATGCACGAGAAAAAGTCGTTACCCCCTGTTACTGGATATGATATATAAAAAAGGCGAAATTCAATGAATATATGCTTATATATATGGAAGGTCTTAATCAAGTTTGGTTATTTCGTACATTTGTGTTAAAAAGTTTTCAAGTATAGCTTTTAACTCTTACAATATTTTAACACAATAAATGCAATAATATATTTTGTGTGTATAATGTATGTAAAATGTAATGGTAATAAATTTTCAAAGATGTTATGCAAGCCATTATTAAGCTTAATTCCTACTCCAAGAATCAGTCTCCTACATAATACTAGTATACTATTGAGTTTAATTGCTCTAGAAGGTAAACAAGAAAAAACAACACATTGTACGAGAAGACATTTTCTAAACAGATATGTTATATGTGATAAGTTATTCAAATGATTATAACACATTGTTGTGTCATAATAATTGGTTTTACGACTCTTTAATAAAATACGAATTGCATTTAATCTTCAACGATTAATACATGTCAAGACGATCAAATATTCCTTTTCGCATGTATTATAATGATATCTGCGTTAATGTGTTTTAGTGTATTTTCTTTCTTTGCCTTGAATATAACATCTATTATTATATTTTTTTTTTGTAAATCTTAAGTTTTATGTAATTCAGGCCGAAAAATGTAAGACACTTTCATCTTTCCTTTTGTTTAAATTATATCATAATTGTCACGTGGTATTGTTATATTGCTTTACAAAACCTTACATGTATCAAATGTTTTCATTTTTATTTTATCGATACATAGATAAATTTTATTTTTCTAATACCTGAATGCGTTTGACATCTTCAAACCATTTGTCTACGTGTAGTAATTATGCTTTAAACATTCAAAACTATAAAAAGTTATCAATATACATGACAAAACAGTAAACAAATTTTGTAAAAAGAATCTGTGGCTTGGTATAGTGCTGTATTTGATGAATCTAAAGGTATA